AGACAGAGAAATAGAAAGTCAGAAATCACCCCCAGGGGAGATGGCCACGCCACAATCTCTTCTCCATTCTCCTCTCAGGATCTTGGGCATGCACACACATGCCCCTGGCATGAGTTTAAGCCACCAGGTCCAGGACTCGATCCCCGGTCGACTATGTGGGAGTCCGGTGTCACAACCATTGCTCCCTCTGCTGGTCCCGACTCAGGACTTTCTCAGCAAGAGACCATGAAGTGTCTCGAGCTTAGAACTGTACCACAGGGGACCCCTCATCTCTGGGTTCCCGTGGGTGAAGAGGACGCAGAGGGGCCGAAAGTTCTGACCGCCCATGAGACTGCCCGTGCGAACTCCCGACCCCCAGATCTTGGCTTTGGGAGGGACGGACAGGGTGTGTTTAGATGTTTGCCTTACAAAATTGTGCTTGTTTTCATTAAATTTAATCAGCTTATGTTAACGACTAGAACTCATGTCCAGGGTGAGCCCCGGCCTCCCTTGCTCAGGGCAGCAGGCCAAGGCCTTGGGCACTCGCTCCGCCGTCTGCCCTCACGTGACCTTCCTCTGGTTTCTAAGCCACGTGCTTCTCCTCCTCCTCAGTAACCACTAGCATGGTCTCCCCAGCGCTGGTCCCTAAACCCTCCTGGGCCCACCTGTGCCCTGCAGCCCCTCCCTGAGGGGCCTGACCCCTCGTCCTGCACCCACCCCAGCACTTCCTGACCCAGGTCACGGCTTCTTGTCCCAGCCACATGCCAGTCCCCACTTGGCGTGTCAGCTGGCTCCTCCCGTAGGAGGTGATGTTCAGTTCCTAGACCACGTGTCACTCCACCATCACTTCATAGGCGCTCAGACGAAGCTCCCAGGAGGGAGGGCCGTCCAGGTCCACTGCCATGGTCAAGGGTCAGTGGTCAAGGAGCCGCTGTCTGGGGCCCTGCCAGGGAGGAGCCACCCTATCCTGGGGACGGGGAGGAGGCAGAGAGCCCACCTTGCAGGTGGAAAAGGCAGCAGCCTGGCAAACAGCTGACCAGGGAGGGTGCACGCCCTGCTCAAGGACCAGGGCAAGGCCCATGAGGACCACGAGGGCAGAAGCTAGTCACTGGGGACACTAGAGGTGATGAGAGATGGGACAGAGGCACCCAGGGAGCCCAGTGTCTGGCATCGTGGCAGACGGGGTGGGGGCACTGTTGGTGAGAGGCCTGAGGACCCAGGATGGGGACCCTCGTCACTCGCGGTACCTCCCGTCCTCACTGACACCCTGTCGGTGGGAAGGGCCATGGCCCCAAGGGAGGCCTGGCTCCTCACCACAGCCCAGAGATCTCGAGTGCTGGGTTCACAAGCCGTAGTGCCTCTGGGTCTAGGAGTCACCCTCACTGAGACCTCGCAGGGCAGGGCAAGGGCGAGACAGAGACGATCAGGCGATCCTGTGAGGGAGGAAACGTCCACCCCTACATCCAGAAGCGCGGCAGGGCCAGGGCCAGGGCCAGGGCTGCCTGCAGTCCTCTGACGCAGACGGTGGTGGCAACAGGTGGGCGTTCCCTATGGTGGTGGCCGTTGGTGTAAGAGCAGCCCCCCACTCCAGCATCAGGGCAGTACTCCCAGCACCCGGGACAGTACCTCTCCCCACTCAGCACCAGGGGCCGCACCCCTGCCCACCCTGCTCAGCACCAAGGGCAGCACCCCCTGGAGATAGCCACCGATGTCCCGGGCGTGGCCACAGTCTCTGGAGGTAGAATGGCCTGCACTGAGCACCCCTGAAGTGGCCTGACCTAGAACCCGCTGCGGAGCTGTGCGACAGGGAGACTTCACTGGGAGCCAGGATGGGCTCCGGGGAGACCAGGCACTTCCCACAGCACAGGACGGCGCCTTTCCACCTCAGAGAAGCAAAACCAAGCGCCAAGGATCACACGGCCGCACTGAGAGCTGGGACAGGTCACAGTCACCCGCGACACTGCGAGCAGTGGATGAGACCTGTTCCAGACGCCACCACGCGGATGACCTCGCAGACTCGCATTCGGCCGAGGGCAACGGAGGCTGCTGGACAAGCCCCTTACTGGACGTTCCCACAGACACTCCGATGGCCACAGACCCGGTCTCGGGTTACGGTGACCGGGACAGGGCTGCCCTTTCGTGGTTTCCCCAGAACATTCCAGGTCTTAGCTCTGAGAGGCCTGGGAACCTGCGTCTGGGGGTGTTGACCACCTGCGACCCGGCGTGGTGGCCGAGCGGTCTAAGCTAGTGTCGGTTCACAGGACTGTACGGAGCAGGGGGTGGCTCGTCCTACTGCGGTGACCTTCAGGGTTCACTGATTTCTCCCGAGCACCTCACCCCACTGTGACCTCCACCCCAGCCTCCCAGCCCACATGATCAAGGGTGTGTGCACCCAGCACGTGTAGACAGCTGGGGAACAGAACCCGCGGCCTTCCACACGGACCTAGTGCGGAGCAGTCACTACACCCAGCCAGCCCAGGAGCTAACTAAAAACAACATCAACAAAAAGCAAAAATACGCATAAAGAACCACTTCCAGGGCCATGGGCATGGTCTCCCGCTGCTCAGACTGACGCCCCCACCCCCCAGCCTGAGGGTGAGCCAGGCAGGACGCAGAATCCACCAGCCCCAGAGCTCCCACGGAGCCCCACTCGGACACCCGCGTGCCCCATGCGAAGGTCCCGTCGAGTTTTCCTGCAGGGGGCCTCCCAGAGCCCCTCTGAGGTGGGCAGGGCAAATCTCCACCTTCCAGCCTAATCGCAGAACCGACACAGTCACATGACTGGCTCGAGGCATCGGCCTATGGGTGCACTGTGCCCCCCATGGCCAGAGGGTGGAGGAGAAGGGGGCCTTAGCTCTGTGTGGTGGCACCAGCTGAGGGCATCAGCACCCCTGCTCCCCGTGGGATGGGCTTTTCCCTTTCCTGCCTGGAGGGGGAGTCCCCGCTAGCCTAGTGACGCATCGGGTGCCATGCCGGGCCAGGCAGGCAGAGCCAGCGCAGAGGTCTGCTCTGAAACATCCCACGGCACATTGACAGGGGCCTCTGCGCCCTTCCGGACTGAGCTGGGAGCTGGCGTCGGGGGCAGCGACTCGAACTGCCAGAAAGGGCGGCCAGGCACAGGACCGGACTGCAGCTGGCTGGGCCACAGCGGACACAGGAGCAGGGTCGGCCCGAGCCCTCCGTGACCCTGCGGCTTGGGGTAGGCGGCCGCTCTGCTCCTTCCAGACAAGGGCTGTGCCTGCCTCTGCCTTTGCTGAGCGCTCGGTGCTCGGAGGAAGCACTCAGACACCGGCAGGGTCCAGTGGGCCCGGCTTCCCGGCTGCCCGGCTTCCCGGCTGCCCGGCTGCCCGGCTTCCCGGCTGCCCGGCTTCCCAGCTTCCTGAGGTCGGGTCTGGAGGCAGCGGGTGGGAGGCTCGCCCTATGGTCCCTCAGCCAAGCTGCGCGAGAAGTGCTCCGGATGGCAGCGAGGTCCTTGCGAGGGGCCTGACGCCAAGTCCTCCCGTGATCGGTCTTTCAGCACCTCTGCCCCTGCCCGGGTCCCACCCCTGCACAGCAGGGTCACTGCTGTGGTCCAGCCACAAGCTGTGTGCTCACGGGGGTCAGGGCTGGACTCCAGGCATCACAGACAGCCTCAGCCCTGAACTTGTAACACAGGGCCTCGGCCTCTGTGCAGAGGGAGAACAGCACGCCTCTGTTTACCCCGGAGCAGGCAGGATCCAGAGAGTGAGCCTTGCACGATGTGGTCAGGAAGCACCATCCGAATGGAGGACGACGATGGTGGTGGTGTAGCAGAGAATGCAGTGCTGATGGGCCCAGACAGGAGGCAGTACCCTGAGTTCAAGTCCTGGCCCTGGAGGGTGACCCCATGATGCATTTGAGAGGTAAGGCACTTGGGCCCCGGCGCCTAATCCCAAATGAAAGTAATAATGTGCCCAAGAGGAGTCAGCCTGGTAATCTGCGGCTCTGGTGGGGACGGGCGGGGTGGTCGCATCTCCGTCCCAATTCTAGGGCTGGAGCAGCTTCCGGGGGACAGGGCCCTGTGACCTTCGGCCTGTCCCCAGGCTATCATCAAAGGACCTTACATAGGATCAAACATTCCTTAGTTTGGACGGGTCAAAGCCCATCACCCCGACCTCCCTCCCAAACAGAGCTGAGCCGTGGGAGGGTGGGCCTTGTCAGAGGCCCACTCACGTCTAGGAGGAGGGCCACCCAGCCTCCGTGTCGGTGTGGAAGGACAACCCCGCCGGACTGCGCAAATCCTGTTTAGCACTTGATTCGTCGCCGCCAGGCCCTGCTTCCTCCTGATTGCTGGGCTCAGCGAGAGACACCGCTTCCCTCTAAAGGCGGAAAATCGAACAGCATATGTGTGTGGGCTGAGCTCGGATGGCCACGCCGGCCTTGCTGGGGACCGGGACACGGGTTTTCGGACTCCGTGCATTCCAGTCTCGCCTTACGACGCGGCCGAACGCAGGCCCCTCCCTCAGCCTCAAGTCTCACCGACTGTGCTCCTGCTCAGCATCCTTTGCACACGCGAGGTGGCCCCCGCACGGCCCCGGGGCAGAACCTGTCTTGGCTAAATCATATCAAAACGGTGCACGGATCACACCAAATTGCTCTTTTTCAAACACCGTCCTTAAAATGCAAATGGCGAGTTTGAATTCCTTTTCTCTATACCACACCCTTCCCCTTTACCGTGGAGAGTCCCTGGCACGCAGTGTGTTAAGGCGGGGGCCGAGCCCAGGAGAGGAGTGCCCGGAGCAATGCTGTTTTACCTTCTAAGTCAAAGTGGGTTCCTTCAGCGACCGGGAGCTAGCCCGGCAGATGCGGCGGTGAAAGGGAACATTTTGAAGGTCAGAAATGTTTACTTACCTCACTTCTAACTAAAAGAATAAGGGAATGACATCATTCCCAGTTGATTACAAAACTGATGCCTCTGATACGCACGGGGAGGCCGCCCCGTCGCTAGCCTGCTGCTACATATGTAAACACCGAGAAGCCGGCCCTCATCCAGGGCGGCACAATCCGCCTCGTGGCTCGCGGGGCCTCCGTCCCGCGGCCGTGGCGCGGCCGGAGCTGCGTCTCCTGTCTCACCCAGCAGTCCGCAGCCTGTAAGTAGACTGACGCCCACGACATCTGCTATGGGGTGAGAATGGCCTGTCTCAGGTCTCGTGTAAAGAAGAGCTAAGCGGGATGTGGGGGCAGTTATGCAGGTGAGTGTAAGGGGAGCAGGTCCCAGGAAGCAGGGCAGGGTAGAACGAGGCCCTCTCAGAGGCTGCTGGCCTGCGCGGCGCTTAGTCGGGCTGGGTCAGGGGAGTGCTCGAAAAGCTAAAGGAAGGGCCAGACAGAACGGGGGCGGGGGGGTCAGAAACGGGTGCAGAAGAAAGCAGCGCCTTCTGCAGGTGACGAAGCCTCCCCCCTCCCGAGACGGCTTGTCCTCCTCCTGGGCTGAAGACACGGTGCGGGACACGCGGCAGCACGCGGGTCCTGACGTCAGCCAGAACAGCGTGGCTGCGTCCCCAGGCCGCTCTCTGCCAGTGCCCCTGTGGCAGGGCACGCTGAGACAACCTCACGAACGAGCAGGCGGGACAGACAGGGACAAGCAGGCAGACCTCGGCCTTCGCCAGGGTGATCCTGTGTTCTGAAGCTGCCACTGGCGTTCACACGCTCACACATGCTAAGGCCCAGGCGGGTAGGCTCGCCCTCTGCCAGCGACCATTGCAAACGGGCTGGGAGGGGTCCAGGGAGCAGGTCGAGCTTGAAGCCGTTTAATAACGCTACCGTGTGGCGTGTTCTCCAGTTCACTCATTTACCCCAAGAGAACGGCATGCCTGGGTTTTTCATCAACGGTACGTGCTACACATCCACGGTATTTGGGTGGCATAGTTGGTGGCGTCACTCGCACAAGGCTGTCTCTCACGGAGTCGGTCCCCCTCAGCGTCTCTGAGCTTTCCGGGGCGAGCCTCGGGCGACCACCAGGCGGGAAGCTCACACAGAAGCTTGCTGGCTGCATCTGCACAGCCGGCCCGGCTGGAGGGGCCACACAAACGCTGGAGAGGCCTCAGCTCGCACGTGTGTCCCGACATGCCTGGGACGTATTTGTCACTGTCCCCATCTATTGCTTTCACTCTTTCATTAATAATTCAATGTTTAGGGGAAAAAAACAAACTCTTTGAAGGAGAGAAAAATCCATTCGGAGCTAAATAAACTTTTGTTTTGGCCAGTTGGATGTCTTTGTGTTTGGAAACGCCGGCTCTGTCAGCGGGGCCTCATCAAAGCGCTGCCCGAGGAGAGCAGTGGTGGCTGAGCCGGCCTCCCCGTTCCCCAGTCCCGACCGTGGGAAGCACCTGCCGAAGTCGGGAAGACGTGTGCGGTGTCAGATTCTGAACCTAACCACATCCGACCCTCAGACGAGAAGCAGACATGTTATTTAGGGGCTTAGCCGGTGACAAGGGCCGGCTCTGCGTGGCTCAGCCGTGTGGCTGGAAAGCAGCCTACTGCCGTCCCCCAGTTTCACTCAGAGCCGCGCGGCGTGATGTACTGGCTCCA